GTGAGAACAGTATTATTTGCTAGTTACATCTATCAGCAGCAAACTCTTAATCCTGGAGGAAGGGGAATGATTTTCAGAGGGGCCTTCTGAAGCATAGAAACTCCTAGGATATGTATATGGGATAGTACATCCCCAGAGATGCTCCTTATTCTGAGTATTTATGCTTAAAGGAGTAGTTCAGCACGACATTAATGGTGAGGGGCTTTTTTGGTGAGACTGCACATCCAATACTTAAACTAGGTAAATTATGCATTGATTATTGTGGTGGAAAATCTGCTTAGGCATTTTCTTTCCTTTGTCTTCAATGTTTCTTGTTGTTGTTGCAGCTTAGAAAATCTTGTTCTTGCCGCTTTTAATCAGGAAGCTGAGCAGAAATAATCAACACTGTAGTTACACAATGGTGACTTATTTTTAGAAATATATGCCAGGGAAATATGAGACAAAACAAAATTCTGCAGGGGTGTCCTGTGTTGAGTCACTCAGAGGTTTGTTTTGGCAAATAAGAGTTCATCTGATGGCACATGTGGAACAAGCCATTACTTGAAGGAAGATGAAGTGTTAATGAAAGTGGATGTGTTTCCTTTTAGCTGCATTTTGGATTCATGTCTATGACAAGGAGCAGCCAAGGCTCTTTCTGTACTTGTCAATCGCATGCTGCTACGTGGTGGCCAGTTGCTCAAATCAGATTGCTCAGAATGGTTTCATGGCAATCGTTTGCTGTCAAAAATGTACGTTTCCAATCAAGAGCTTTTCCCACTATTTTTCTTTGGGACTTTTATCCTAAGGCTATTAAAATGTCTGTGTGAGTTCAGGAAAGCTCTGTGATGAAGGTACAGAGTCTGAGTGGCAAAGGGAGGTTCAGAGATGAGGATGCTTTGTGGCCACATCCTCCCCTGTGAGCAAATTCCTGCACCGTCACAATATGTCTCAAGACATGACGTGAAACTGATGAAGAAGTGACAGGCTGATGCATCACAAGCAGTCAGGCCAGACAAGGCAGCCTCTTTCAACTTAACAACCAGAGTAACTGAGTTCATTTTTTGCAATTTGGATGATTTTGTAAAATAAGATCCCTTTCCCCTTCTTTAATTCTCTTCATGATCACATGAAAATATACTCTCTTCAGCTATTTTAGTCCTTAATACTGCTTTTCATTATCTAGAAGAACCCTTCAGTTCTTTTCTAGTAGCAAATGATAAGAGGGAAAAAACTACCATGGGGAAGGGGAAAAGAGCACAGACCAGCTCTGGTTTAAGCATCCATTAAAAACCACAAAATCCTCCAGAGTTTTTACTGTCCTAACTGAGCGCATAGATACTGCAGTCATTTCCATACAACAGGTGATGTCTAGAAAGCAAGGTTAGGCTTTCTATGACAGGTAAGTAAAAGATAAAGCAGCAGGCATGCACTTGTTGGAATGCCCAATTGGGCAGTGCAACCCCCAGACAGCTCGAGCACTGGATAGAAAGATCTCCATCAGTGGTTGGAGGAAAAAAAAGCAGATATTTATCTGATTTTTCCCCAGCAAAACTTACTAGCAGCTGGGTTTCATCTAAGCATCTGCTGAGGTGTTGAAGGAGATGGATTTGCAGCTGAGCTGTGACGAGTGTGTCACTTGTGTCTTCCTTGTTATCCCGGGGTCTGTGCTCTATCTCAGCAGTCTTTCCAACAGGAATCCTGGATGGATCATTTACAGAGCATGCTGTGCTTACAGCTTTTTTTCTGAACTGCTCTCAAGCGCCATGCAGAAACAATCACTGTGTTTTAATCAAAGGGATTGTGAAGATAAATTGAAGATTTATTTTTTTTCCCCTGTTGTACAATGGTCTGTCTATATCTCCTAGGAATCTTGTTATTCAGACTTCTTTTATTACTGCTGAGAGTGGAGAATTGTTGGCCTGGCCTTAGGTGGGTTGTCACAGGGTCTGAGAACAGCTTACCAGATGCTTCAAACCAAATAATGGCAAATGAAGTCCTTGTTATGCCATTCACAGACAAAGAATAGTCTCTGCTTTTCAGTTTGTTCCCCAGATGCTGTTGGGAATGTTTTAAATATTTGGTATTCATGATATACTGTTTGGTTAGTGTTTGATTCATTCAAATAGTTTTCCGCTGAGTAGCAAGAACAATAGTTTCCAGTTTCAATTCTTGAAAGTGCAAATGTAATATTTCTTTGAAATGCTGATATTTGCTTAAAAGATGCTGCTTCTGGTAAAATGCCTGCCATTAAGCTTGTATGTTAGTGAACTCAGAAAGTAGTTTGTTCTAAAAGAGCAAATACAGGTGAAAGAAAGCCAGCAAAAATGATTTTGTGAAAAATAACATCTAAACACACACAAGCAACAACAAAATGCTGTAACCTACAACCAAAGATATTTTGAGTAGATGTGGAATATTAACTATTCTTATCAATTCGCCCACCGTGGTTACGTGGGACAAGCTCTACCACGTGCAGATAAAACCCATAGGTTTGGATTTAGCAGAAGGTAGACTCGATGTTTTAGTGCCTTGGGAGGTGTTAGGGCAGCCAGCAGATGCATTTTCAGCAATAGTCCCTTCAGGTCTGTGGTTCTCTGTGGAGTACCACATAGATTGGAGCTGTGGTAGGAAAAAAACTTGCTTTGGGGTTGATTAGAATGACTGGCAGAAGGAGCTGATGGGATTGTTAGGAGAGTGAGACACCTTCCCCAAATTACTTCACACTTCCTCATCCCCTTTCCCTCTTGAAACACCAGATTCTCCCTTCCCTATTTACACTCCTCTCCCCTCTTGTTGCAGGCTTGAATTTTGAATGTTCCTGCTGCAAGCTGCTGTGTTTCACTAACCATCCAAGCTTGGTCCCAGCCCATTCATTCATCTCCAGTACCAGAAGCAGACAAGCCAACAGCACCTGGTTTGGAGGGAGTGTCAAAGCTGTTCCTAGGAGGAGGCAGTGTGGCTTGTCTGGTGAAGCACAAGCTGTTGTTATCTGCCTTACTTTGTTTTTCTTAGTAGCAGACCAAAAAAAAAATCCATATTCCAGACATTTAGCTTCAGCACAACACTCCCTTGACCATCCTTGGTCAAGCTTAGGCTCCTGTTTATATGACATTCTTAACAGCACATGCAGCTTTAATTGACCCTGTGAAGATCATAGAACCATAGAATCATAGAATGGCCTGGGTTGAAAAGGACCGCAATGATCATCAAGTTTCAACCCCCCGCTATGTGCAGGGTCACCAGCCACCAGACCAGGCTGCCCAGAGCCACATCCAGCCTGGCTTTGAATGCCTGCAAGGATGGGACATCCACAGCCTCCTTGGGCAACCTGTTCCAGTTCATCACCACCTCTGTGTGAAAAAATGTTGCTTCACAGGAAGCCTTGGCACCGTAAGTTGAATTTTCTATCTTTCTGTTATTTTCTAGAGAGGAGTGGTTGATACAGACTTCAGCAACTTCAGCAACCTACAGTGAGGTTGCCGAGGGTTGCTTTTTGTGAAGCTTGACCACTGTGCAGGTGTTTCCATCCTTATGTTTTCCTCCTGACTGTGTAGGGACAGGACAGTAAAAGGACTGGGCCCTTCTTTAGTAATTCATGGGGTGTTGCTCAGCTGAATTACACTCTATGAGCATTTTATCCAAGTATAGCTTTTTTACTGAGGCAATGATTCCTTGAAATAAGGTGAAAGCAGACAGAATGATTCACTTTCTGCTTACAATACGCAGTGTCACCCAAGGCATATCCTATTGCCGTATCCCATCGCCCCAACTGGTGTTTCTCAGAGGCTGGCTGGGTGGTGCAGGAGGCCATGTCATATTTCCTGAGTGTTTGTGTGCAATCACAGATGAGCAGTGAACATCTGCAGAAAGTGAAAGAGCTGTGCACCGCTGACACAGCTTTGCAGTCGTTATTCAAATAATGCTCGCAGATGCTTCTTAGCTCGGTTTTTTTTCTGCTTCTTAAATCCCAGCAGCATTAGAAAACACCTTGTCCAACACCACAGGCTAGCAAAGCAGTGATCGTTTTCTCTCAGAGTGGTCAGGCACTGGAATGGCCTGCCTAGGGAGGCGGTGGAGTTGCCCTCCCTGGCAGTGTTCAAGAGGTGCCTGGATGAGGAGCTACGAGAGATGGTTTAGTGCTTGTGGTAGTGGTGGTGATGGGAGGACAGTTGTACTAAATGATCTTGTAGGTCCTTTCCAACCTTGTGATTCTGTGATTCTATGTTATGTTCCTCAGCCATTATGAATCGTATATTAAGCACACACACACACAAAAGCATGATTGAAATTCAGCCACATGAAAATCTCTAGGCTAGAAAGCCTAGGATTGAACAGGAATGTTGAAACAGGCCTATCTACCTTTTTGCAAAGACCAATCTCTTCTGTCTTGAAGACTCCATTTTAAAATTATCTTTGAGCTTTCTCACATGCTAAGGCTCTGTTTAGAGAACTGCCACTATGCCTTGATGTATCCACAAGTGCCTGAACTAGACTTCACTGTATATTCAGCAGTAAAAAGGAAATGAGAAACTTCCTGTCTGATAAATACAATAGATGAGATAATTAAATGCTGATGATCTGTTTGGTTACATGTAGCTTTCTTGGAGTAAGGATGGCCTTCTCCAGAACAGTTAATAGTGTTTCCTCTCAGCACAGCAGGTGGATGGGCTTTGGCCACTCAAACAGCTCTGCAAATAAATCCACTGCTGTCAGGCAGCTTCCTGGTTCACCTTTGGAAATGATTACAAGCGAAACAAGTCTCTGTATAGAACTTAGCAGTAGCAGAAGAGTGGCAAGAGGTAAATTGCAGCAGTCGGTTGTCAGTCAGAAGATATTCCTCCAGTAAAACAGCCTGTGGCAGTAAAATGGCAAATAATGCAGCCTTCACAGAGCTTGCATGAGCTGACAGGGTTACTCAAACCCCACTGTGCTGGTGCTCAGCTAAGCCCAGAGGGACCCAGCTGAGCTCGGGCCATGTGGTATTGCCTCTCAAAGCAAGGGGAGCAGATGGGGTCACTTACCTGGCCGGGGATGCTCCAAAATCTCTCTGCAGACCCTTCCCAACTCGTTCCTTGGGTTGGTAGCCTGAGAAGGCTGTGTCCTCCCAGTGGTTTGTTGGGCAAGAGTTGGTTGTAAGAGTATGCTTGTACTCGGTCTCCCCTCTTTCTTGTAAAAGAGAGAAACCGCAAATGTTGTTCTTCCGGTTTTAGTCACTTCCTTTCAGCTTGGAAACCTTGTTTTTTGACAAGATCTCACAGACATTTAGGCTGAGTGCGCCTTGAATAAAGCAGCTCATGTGTAGAGTTCTGCAGTCTCCTTTAGGTACCGTGTTTGGTGTAGCTACCCCATGAAATCATTTCCAGATATTTTCTCATTTGGCAGCCATAATTCCTGAGAACGTTGCTTCAGTGCTACAAATTTTGAATTGTATACTTCTGCAGAGTCACACTGAGGGCTTTAGCAGAAGGATGGCTACAGGCTGCCTACCTTTGTGCAGCCCAGCACCAATCTGGGCAGTAGTCACAGGCTACAAAATCTCCTGAAGCACCAAAGTACGCTCCTTTCCATTCTTGCAAATGAGTAAGAAGTCAAGAACCTGAATTACTTTTAAAAAGTGAAGGTAAGGGGTATTGGAATTGCTGAGGACCAAGGTTTCTTTCCCATGCAGGGAGGGATGGAGGCTTCCTGTGCACCTCATCACCAGCACGGAGATGGGACAGGACCCCATCTAAATCAACAGTGGGAAAGTGGGGTTAGGTGTCTTCAATGACAAAATTCCTGTAAATCACAAAGCAAAAGAATATTCAGTGGAGAAGAGAGCAAGAGATGATGAGGATAGGTTCACACCTCCTCATACCTCTTGTGAAGCCTTTTCTTCAATCCCCAGCCCAACAAAAGTAATGCAGGCTCTTCAGGGGCTGTTTGCAGGGTCTGAAGGGAACAAGATATCAAGAAGAGGCCATACATCCATACTGCCCTTCTTCAAGCAGGAGAAAAGTTAATTAATTCAGGAGAATGATGCTAATATCCATCACTGGAACAATACAGAAAAACATTAGATTGGATATAAGGAAGAAGTTTTTTACAAGAGTAGTGAAGCACTGGAACAGGTTGTCCAGAGAGGTGGTGGATGCCTTCTCCCTGGAGGCATTCAAGGCCAGCTGGACGGGGCTCTGAGCAACCTGTAGCTGTGGGTGTCCCTGACTGTATGAATCCTATGATTCTATGATTCTATGAATATTGAGTGCTTGTGATGGAGCATAGATGAAGGGGGGAGAAGGTGGTGTGGAAAGGCAAGATCCAGAGGGCTCTTGCCACGGAGTGGAAAAATTGAGCCAGACCTCCGAGGTCAAAAGAAGTGGACTGAGGGGAGAGGGAAGCAGCAGGTCATCAGCAGGAAACTGGAGATAGCAAGGGGAAAAGGAGTGGGAGAGAGAGGGGTTGATTTATTGCACTTCACTTTTTCAGTCTCAGTGCACATGGCTTCAGAGTGGGATACTCACTGAAGTGCTTCCTGATGGAAGGTTTAATTTATTAATTTAAGGGACCCCCCTCAGTCTGTCCCCAGCTTTGTTCCCTCTGAAAGGGATAAGCAGCCGCAGCTGATTAATCACCTTACAAAGCTGTTTATGTTTTTGCCTTTATTTAAACTGCTTGTTTGCTAGCGCTAGCCATTTCCATCCGTGACATGTTTTTAACATCATCAAATATTCCTAATCTCCAGACTAATCAGCTGCTCCCTTAGGTAAACATGACTGTTAAGTTGCTTGTGGAACATTTTGCTGAAGACTGGTGTTTGCATCAGAGACAGGAGGAACCAGGCCTGCAGCTGGTCATGCCAATATCTTTTTTGAAGTCGCATTTCCCTTGTGCTTCATGGGCCAAGTTGGCTGCAGCTCCTAGTCCAATCAAAGATAATTTATTTTGAAGATGGCAAAATCGAGATTTCAATTTTGGACACAAAGAAATGGTTTGGGCACCCTATTTCCCCCTTGAACAAATCTTCTGTTGCACAGTGTTCTCTCCAGTTGCCTGCCTTGCCCTTGGTCCCGACACTGTCCTCTCTGCTGGTGCAGCAGGCTGGCACCGTGGCTGCTCCTGCACATGGCTGTGTGTACCAGAGTGACTTGATCAGCTTCATCTTGCATGCATACATGAGCCTCTTGGTGTTAATGTCTGTTGCCTCTGCTGATTTTTCCTTGTTTTGATGAACATGCCATCTGGATTGTCCTCAAGGTCTCGTTACAGGTTTTTAAACAATTTGCAGTAATTTCAAATAGGAAATATTGTCTGAGATGTGGTAATTGCTCCTAGAGAGATACTAAATATTATAGTAAATGCAAGGAAACGTATCTAAAGACCCTCCTCTGTGTGGAAATGAAAGGTTATCTTTAGATAAGAGAGAGGAACCGTATGCTTTTGCCACTGTGTTTGGAGCATATCGTTTTCCTATTCAGTACTGGCCCAACAGATCATTCTTCCAATGAGTGGCTTGTACCCCTGTTGCAGTTGTCTGTAATCATTTTCCCCAAGTCTAGTAGCTCTATTTTTCTGAGGATATTTATTTCCCCAAATCCTCTTCCTCTATTGAAAGATTTCCAACTGAGATACTGAAAACAGCTACAAGCTGTCTGCCTTGGGTCTCATTCGTCCTTCTCCATCTCTCACACCAGGTTCATCTCTCTGCTGAGAAAGAAGTTATCCTGATGCATCTGCAGGCATTAGAACCTTTCATCCAGCTTTGGCTGAGCTCGTGTTGAGATTAGGTGAAATGCTCTTCTCACTGGGCTGTAGGGTGAAGCTACAAAAACCACTTAAAGCTGCGTTCCCAGCATGGAATCATAGAATCACAGAATGGTTTGAGTTAGAAGAGACCCTTAGAGATTATTTAGTCCAACATCCCTGCAATAAACAGGGACACCTACAGCACATCAGGTTGCTCTGAGCCCCGTCTGGCCTGACCTTGAATGTCTCCAGTGATGGGGCATTCACCACCTCTCTGGGCAACCTGTGCCAGTGCCTCACCACCCTCACTGTACACAAACTTGTTCCTCATATCCAAACTATGTCTCCCCTCTTTTAGTTTGAAACCATTTCCCTTTGTTCTATCACAGCAGACCCCACTCAAGAGTGTGACCCCCTCTTTCTTCCAGCCCCCTGTTAGATACTGAAAGGCTGCTCTCCAGTCTCCCAAGAGCCTTCTCTTCTCCAGGCTGAACAGCCCCAGCATCAGGGGTTTGCAGGAAGAGTTGTGGGCCAGAAGGAGCCTTTTACAGTAAATCCGGTCCCACGCCTGGTTTGACGTCCCAGTCTGAAAATGGGTACATTTTAAGGAGTTTTGTGTTCTGCCAGAAAGGCTGCAGTACAAAGCGCTCGGTATGTTTTTCTGGCAGTGGGACAGACCAGCCCAGACGGCCTCTGGTTTGGATGAGGACTAAAGTAAGAGAAAAGACAACAGTGGCTTCTGGGTTGTTGTTTTTTCTTTGCTAAATTGAAAATACGTGTCCAAGGGACACGCTGTATGCACAGCCGTGGAGAATGACACACTGCCTAGTTACAGCAGTGTACAGAGTCCTTGTTGCCATACCCCAGTGCACGAGGCTGTGCTGGGCAGGGAGAGGGGCCAGCCTGTAGCTGGCCTGATGGAGTCATTTTGGGGTTCTGGTTCACCTCCTGGCTATGGGATGCCAGGTACCAGAAGAAATAATAGGAAGAAGTCACTGTGAAATGGGAAAAATGCAATCGGATCCACAATTTATACCAGCTGCACTTTAAATCCCCTTTCGTCTGCTTTGTAACTGAGAGCTTTGGAGGCAGGCTTTCTCTCAGAGCAGATAGATTACTGCATTAAGATGTTCTCTGGATATTTTGTTTATCTGTGCTAAGGTTGAATTGCTCAACATGCACTTAAGTCAATAACAAGCAAACCCAAGGTCTATCTTTAACCACTCCAAATTGTTTTCCCTTAAAATAACGGAATGCATAATTGCTATGGCTTGAGCAATTGTTTACAAGTGTGTTTTGGTATTTTTGGTGTAGGGAAAAGAGGGCAGAATGGCAGGGGGAAGTGGGAGCAAGGCACTTGTCCTTTCCCATGGGACCAGGAAAGTTGGGGCTGCCCTGCAACCATGGGGTGACATCATTCTAGGAAAGGGCTGAGTGGGGGTGGGAGGCTGCAAGTGTCAAATGCTGATGTGCGGGCTCCTGCTTCCCAGGAAAATACATTTAAACTGGGATAGGTGCAGAGATGGGTAATTAGGTTCATGAAGTGATTAGGGTTTGTTTTTATTTAGGGTGAAGTATTACAAAAGCTTGCTTGTTGTTTAGCTTTGCATAAAAAACTTCAAGGGAATACAGCTGTCCATAGATACTTCAGCAAATACACAGCAGTCGAAGAAGAGACCTGTTTATGCTGAGAGAACACACTGACCTGAGAAAAATGGATATTGAGTGATTCTGGGAGTGCTGGGAAAAGACCTCTGCAAGTGGGAGAGCAAGAAGGAAGCATTTCATTCCAGAGGAAAGCAATGAAGATGCTGAAGGGACAAGAAAACAAAAGTATGTGGAGTGATGGAGGAGCTGGGGCTGTTTAGTCTGCAGAAGAGGAAACTGAAGGGAGACCTCATCACTCTCTACAGCTACATGAAAGGAGATGGCAGGCAGGTGTGTGTTGGTCTCTTTTCTCAAGTGACAAGTGATAGGACATGAGGAAATTTGCAACTCCCAAGTTGCACCAGAGGAGGCTTTGATTGGGTATTGGGAAGAATTTCTTCACAGAAAGGATGATCAAGAGTTTAAATGAGCTGCCCAGGGAAGTGAGGGTAATTTACCATTGAGGTAATTGAGAAAAGTGGATGTGGCATTAAGGGATATTGTTTAGTGATGGTACTTGGTGGTGTTGCATGATGGTTGGATTTGATGATCTTAAGGGTTTTTTTCCAACATAAAATTGTTCTATACTTGTATAATTAGTGGAACAAGAGCAAACCCAGTTTGAAGACGCAGGTTGAGAGACATGGTATGAACGATGAGAGGGACATCATTTTCAATCTTGCTGCAGTGGTTACAGCAGGGTTCACAATATCTAATGACAAGAAGAGAAGCTTTTTAGTTGATGGGCAGTTTAACATGGGGAATATTTAAG